TGGCCCGTTTTATTTCATCAGTACCATCAGGCTTGCTTAAACTGATACTGGTGAATTGCTGATGTTTAAGGGACGTTTTTTTGTTACAAGCGGTAGTTTGACCTAAAGCTATATAATACATAACGTACTTTACACTATTGAGCCAAGAATGTCCGTGTCCCGCGTGTGACGTCACTCTACGTCGACCAGCACCCATCATTAATAATCATGAACAGGTGACATCCTCCAAATGGGCACCCCCCCTCCATTAATACAATTAGCGGGTGACGTCACTCCACATGGGGGGCCGAGGTGCCTCCTCCCCCCTCCTCGGCGTCAACTTATAACCCTCACTACAAAGGTAGAACCCTCACGTCACGCGATTGATACATAGAAGTAAAATGTCATGATGAACAAGGGATTATAACCTTTAAATGAAATAAGTCTGTGTCACCGCGGCCTTACAAATTGCACACGAATTGATGCAATATCACGTCGTGGTCTGCTTTTTGCTTGCAAGTTTCAGATTGACTGAAATACACCGGTCCTTGGATGGACAAAAGGTTAGTTTCTCATTACGATCTCCCAACCGACCCCTCATTTCCAATAAGTTTCCTCTGATCACCAATCCGATTTGAAATTTCTCCACCTTCAAATACCGACATCAGCTCCCCCCTGTGACAGATCACCAATGAGTCAACTCACGAGCCATTTGTACTCATGAGCCGTTAGACCTGGTGTGTATATTTATTTCAAAATAGTTTGCCTCTTGGTATTCCTTACACAAGGAAAAACTTCTGCTCAAAACCCCCAAATGTAGAGGTTTTAGGCTCCATCCTTGGCCGCTTGATTTCTCGCTAAATTTCCTCCTGCTTGGCAAATAGTCATCCCCAGTTTTAATGCCAACCATCACTTCTATGGTGTTGTCACCCGGCTATACATTGCTATCGATTCCAGTAACCCAACCTTTAAGAACACTCTGAAATACTGCCTTGATACTGTCTCATTTTGGATTGATTCTAACTTCCTCAAAATAAATAGTTCCTAAACGTTGGGCATGACTTAAACGTTCACACCCAGCAGAGTACAGTGTGAGCATGCATCTCCTACACCTTTAACATGTTATTGAATCCGAAGCACTCATTCCATTTCCACACATCTCAAATCTGCAGGACCAGCTTCCGCATAGGACCATAATCAACGCCTTCATTACATCAACTACTGGAACCTTCTCATCCACACCCCTCAGCAAACTCCAGATGATGCCGTTGCAAGACTCTACCGCAACTGTGACATCACCACAATACTCGAATTCTTCCACTGGCTGTCAAACCAGTCTCACATCAAATTCAAGATCACCCTCACCATCTTCAAGAACCTCCATGAACCTGGGCCTGCCAACATGTCCCGTCCTATCTCACTCGAATCCCTTCCGAGCCCTCTCCATTCCAGCAACCAAGCAACCCTCACTCATTTGGATGTTACTCATCTCCACTCCTTTGCTCAACGTTTTCTGGAACTACCCTGTCATCCGTGCTGTCGACTCGCCTGCCCATGTTCCAGTCCAGGCTTCCTTATTGTCTGAAATTGAATGGCTGACTATATATGAAACAAATGTTCACTATTTTTTCACAGCATTCTGAACGTTTGTTGCATTTGAACGCTGTATAAATCCCATCTGTATTGTACAGACATGTGCATTAGTGGTGTATGGTCTCGGCTCATCACCTTCAACAAAGTGCCATATGCGATACATATTTGCATTTATACGGGGCTTACCATATATAACACTATGTAACACCATTTTTGTTCCTGGGCAGTAAATGTTATTGGCAATTATTCCCCACAAACTTTGCTTTTGTGACCAGGACAGTGATATTGAGAAATTTACCTATTTTCAATAATACGGGCGAATTTGTGTCGTTTCGTTCACATAAAGTCAGAAAAAACATATGAATCAAAATTAACATGCATTTATACTAAAGTAATATACAAATGACTACGAAATATTTATAAGTGAGCAGTTTTTCGAGATTTATGATTAACTGCAAATCACTTTCACGAATCAGCCCCTAAATGTAGTCTCCCATCATGTTCTCGTTATACTGTAGCGGCGTTCAAAGTCCAGTATATCCTGGTGGAAGCGCTCGCCTTGCTCCTCCGAGTACGCTCCCATGTTCTCCTTGAATTTATCAAGATGAGCATCAAGGATATGTTACTTTGAAGGACATCCTACAGCCCATTGTGCCGTAGTTCTTCACCAGAGCCTCAACCAGCTCTACATAGTTTTCGACCTTGTGATTGCGCAGTAAGCCACGGACCACTGCGACAAAGCTGTCCCAAGCCGCTTTCTCCTCACTAGTGAGCTTCTTGGGGAATTCATTGCACTCCAGGATCTTCTTTTATCTGTGGTCTGACGAAGACACCGGCTTTGACCTTTGCGTCAGACAGTTTAGGGAAGAAGTCTTGAAGGAACTTGAAGACTGCAGACTCCTTATCGACAGCTCTGACAAATTGTTTCGTAAGGCCAAATTTTACGTGCAGTGGTGGCATCGGCACCTTCCTGGGGTCCACCAGTGGCTCCCACTTGACATTGTTCCTCCCCACAGAGAACTCAGTCCGCTGTGGCCAGTCCCACCTGTGGTAGTACGCCTTGGTGTCCCTCCTGTCCCAAAGGCAAAGATGGCATGGAAACTTGGTAAAACCGCCTTAGAGACCCATCAGGAATGCCACCATTTTGAAGTCTCAGATGACCTCCCAGGCATACTCATCATACTTCAAGGCGTCCAGCAAGGTCTTGATGCTGTTGTAATCTTATTTGAGGTACACCGAGTGAGCCAGGGGAAGAGACGGGTACTTGTTACAAATTATGGAGCAGCACGGGTTAGAGGCTCATGGATGAGCTGTCAATGAAGAGGTGCCACTCATTCTGGTTACAGGCGATTCCGATTGCCTTGAACAGACTGGTCACATTGTGGCAGAAGCAGAGCCAATGTTGACAGGTGAAGAAGCTGCAAAAAGGTTGGTGACGCTTCCTCTGATCTGCGACTTGCACACTGTTATCCAACAAGTTCCACTGCTTGAGCCTAGACATCAATAGCTCGGCATTGGACTTGGTGAGACAAAGATCTCTGATCAAATCGCTGAGGTCTTTTTGGTTGGGGTAGTATGGGTTTCTCTCCTCAGCTCCACCTCTGAAATTGTCATCTGGATCTATGTCTTCCTCGCTTTCTGACTTGCTGCTCTCTTCTAAAGACGGCTGCTCTCTCTCCGGAGGAGTGGGTACGGGGAAGCTCATGACAGTGTGGCACCGGGGCGATGGATGACAGCAGATGCATTCTTGCCAGTCCGACGTTTGGAAGGGTCCACCATGCAGAAGCAGCATTTGCTTGAGTGGGCAGTGGGTTCCCACCAAATTCTTCACCTCTGTACGATCCTACAAAAATATATTTCTTTCACCCATGACTAATGTGTAAGTTTCTCGCAACATTTTTCATAAATGATATATTTAAATCAATAACAATTAAACTTGTAAAACATTTTAAAATAAAAAAACTTTGGCAATTAAAATGGTTTTAACAAATTTTATAACATATAATTCCGAGCAACAATTATCCATCTTACCTTCCAGAGTTGTTTTGAATTGCTCGCAGGTGAAATGAGGTGCCCAGGGTTTGTCTTAATCCCCGACAGGCATGCCGAAACACACATCTTGCAGATGCTTCCACAGATAACTTTTTCGCTCTTGTCTTGATAAATTGGCCGCAGATATCGCAAAATGAATCTGCCTGATGCTTGCAGCCTCTTGATGCCATTTCATAAAAATGCAGATATGTATCCGCTTAGGCAGCTGGAATTAAACTGAACTGGTGGGCTTAAGGCCCCTGTATTTATACTATTTATTACTGAAAAGTTATAGAATGTTCTAGAAGTTACTCCAAGTTTACTTAGCAGCTGAATCTATCTGGAATGTTCTGGAAAATAGGTCAAGTTCAAAATATTACTGTCCTGGCCACAAAATCTAAGTTTGTGGGTAATAGCCATTTTCTGTACTTTTGAGGCATAAGCAATTAGGAAATAAAACTTACTACCCAGGAAAAAGAATTTGTTACACAGTGTAATGTACAGATGTAGGTGTAATGGCGGGGTATGTTGCCCCAAACGGCTCTGATTTCATGTACAGATGTAGGTGTAATGGCGGGGTATGTTGCCCCAAACGGCTCTAATGTATATACTTTTAGGAAAGGGACAAGTAATGCCCAACCATACAGAGGGCTAAACATGTCTATAGGTAAATCTCATTGTCAATCACCTGTTGGATGAAGGCCTCCCCACACCGTGTGGATCGTGGGGTTATTTGACCATACTTCACCACATTGGTCAGTGGTGCGGGTTGGAGGTGGGCAGCACAAACATAGGGGCGTTTGGGTCCAATAAAATTATTTTTCTGAACCTACCTCTCCTCCCCGCAACAGCATATAGCATATGCGTATAATCTACATAAGGAGGAAATCAATGCAGCGATAATTATGGGCATTAGTGATGGAGGTTCTTATCCAGTTGACCACGCCCAGGATTAAATAAGATTCTGAGTCTATGCGGTATAAACACGTACATTGGTAATGTAATATATCTTTAAGACATCACCATTTACATTGAAACGCAACCCACTCGTCGATAACACTGCCTTAAAAAGCTAAAACATAACCGACGTTTCGGGCAATGGCCCTTCACAGCACATAGAGCAGGCATTACCATTGACATTCAAGCAGGGGTCTTACCCAGGTCACCCCCCCCCCTTCACCCCCGTGTTGGAAAATGTAACAAATTAGTCTGATTAATGTATTATGCGACATATACTGTAAAGATATAACGAGTGTGAGGCCATCGCCCAGTCGTGTATTAACTTAAAAAAAAGGACTAAAACATTATGCAGGGTGTAGCCGAGATCACCGCCCGCAAGGGCGAGTATTGTAAAATCAGCCATGGTCTCCACTGCTGGATGACGATGAAGCTCTCACCCAGCTGACCACCCGCAGGATGGAGTGCGGCTGCTTCATGAAGGCCACGGGGTCGAAGGCTCCTCCCGCCCGCCCGGCTCCGTACGCCGCGCCCGCCGGCACGGCCGCTCCCGTCTCGGTCGCCTCCATCTCACTCTACCTCTTCTCCTCTCCCGTCCTGCTCCTCCCTCGTTATTCTCCTCGGCTCCGCTAAGCAAGCAAGCGACAGCGGCGGCGGTGGCCCCGGGCTTTTACCGCTGTAACGTAGATCGACTGCGAAGGGGGTGGGCAGAGACCGCGCTGCTGCTCCTGCTGCTGTTGTTGTTGTGAAATCGGTGACGAATAAAAAATCGCGTTTGCGCGCTTCCCCCCTATCGGCAGACGTCGTTCGGCTGATGTTTTGTTTGACCCCGTGGGGCTCGCCGTAGCCTGGGGCAGGGGTCACTGTTTTGCATGGAGGGGGGGCGGTTTATGCGCGGCAGGGAAGGGGTGGGGGGAACGGCTCCATATCACGTGACGCGAGAGGGGGATGGGTGGGGGAAACGGCTCCATATCACGTGACGCGGGAGGGGGATGGGTGGGGGAAACGGCTCCATGTCACGTGACGCGGGAGGGGTGGGGGGAACGGCGCCATATCACGTGATGCGCGAGTGGGAGGGGTGGGGGAACGGCTCCATATCACGTGATGCGCGAGGGGGAGGGGTGGGGGGAACGGCTCCATATCACGTGACGCGTGAAGGGGATGGGTGGGGGGAACGGCGCCATATCACGTGATGCGCGAGTGGGAGGGGTGGGGGGAACGGCGCCATATCACGTGATGCGCGAGTGGGAGGGGTGGGGGGAACGGCACCATATCACGTGACGCGCGAGGGGGAGGGGTGGGGGGAACGGCACCATATCACGTGACGCGCGAGGGGGAGGAGTGGGTGTGAATCGGGGGGCCAAAGGAATACAGATTCTTGGTTTTCGGTAAAGTCACGTAGATAGAAAATAAAAATAAATTTTAATAACAAAAATAAAATCTAATTCATTTATTTTTCACGTAGACAGAAAATAAAAATAAAATTAAAAATAAATTACAAATAAAAATTCAATAAAATTTAAAATACATTAAAATATCATTTTTATTTAATTTTATTTTTATTTTCTATCTATGTGACTTTACCAAAAGAACCAAGAATATTAATTCATACAGTCACGAAAGTTTTAAGTCAAAATTTAAAGGAATACAGAATCAGAGTTTTGATTTACACTGGAGGAATCCGATTAGCAATAAGACTCTTTTTCACAGATGTCCAGTACGGGCGGGTGAGAAAGTTACAACAAACAATACTAAAACACGATATGAGTGCAAAGTATAGGAAATGTAAGCAAATCGATAAAATATATATTTTTACCACGTAAAGCCCACTGAGCGTATTACCTTCTTCAGAACCAACCTGCCCACAAATAATAGCTCAACGAGATGGCTTATCATGTGGGAATTTATAGCAGCCAAATCTAAATACTGTAATCTCATACATGGGATGATGTCCCTTCGAAGGGATTATTTGTCATTTTAGAATAAATGGCTTATTAAGTCAATGTGTCGACACAGAAGACTGCACCACAATCCAAGCAAAGAAAAATACACCCATTATACTTTATAACTCAGAATAATCGTTTGTGTCATTGTAGAGAATATAAATAAATAATATCTTAATATTATCTGTCCATTTCTTGTCATATTTTAGGAGCATCTTATCCCGTATCAAGAAAGGTGGACAGATTATTTAGACCTGCACTGCAGTCCCATATGACGCCCAAGTAACACGCCACTTCATGATCATACGCTTTTGAGGTGTATGAAATGTACGTCCGAAATCTGACAAGATATGTGTCAGCAAAACGATTTTTTTCCAAGTTATCCACAGAATTATCCTTTCCAAAATGCAGTGGCACCAGCAGTCTGTTGATTTTTTTGAATGCATTGACATTATTCCAGACGAATTTCTCCAGTTCGAATTTATTTCCAGGTCTTGGCGCATTCGAGGAACATTTTCAATTCAAGCTGGTGCCTTTTTGGCATACCAACACACAATGTCCAATCCATGGTGTCAATTAAATCCTGAATGCTATGATAATGAGATTATTACTGTGATTGCATTTACCAGATAAAAACACTTCTTATTTCGTATGGCTGATGTAGATGCAGTGTAACAACTACAATTTCACATTCCGGTGCTCAAGCCAGATAACCGCATCAGGAGAGGTAGAGTGTATCACTGTGATGTCTCCTTCGTGTTTGATGATCGGGCATTGCGTCCTTACATATTGTATGGACTGTTCTTGATGACCACAGTCGCACACTAGAGGGTTTTTTAATTTTCCATTTGTATCTGCCATGGTGTGTGTGGACGTTGTTTAGGGTGGATCATGAGTTTCGTAGAAGATCTAACCCAGGGATCTTCTGCGTTGGGCGGGCCGTGTCAAGATTGGACTCAAAGCTAAATTCTTTAATACAGGACATCAATGTTACATGTGTTCATTATGTTTGCGAGATACAGTGTTCAGCTGGAGGACCCTTATCTCAGGGCCTATCTGGCATGTTGTTTGGCTTTGAAGCGGGCCAGTGGTGTGGCTTGTGTTGTTGCTCTGAAGCCCGGGAGATCGATGATTGATGTTTGGTTGCCGCGTTCATGGCATTTGTTGTGATTTCTCACTTAACAGAGTGGGCCGCATGAAGGCTGCCATCTTTCACTCCAGTCCACTGCAGTATTAGCTCCTTTTCAGAGGTGACCTGGCCACACATGAAGCTCATCGAAGTCGCCTATCATCATATGAGTGAGCATATAGTTGCAGCTAAATAATCTAAACTCCAAGTATACAAGTGTCAGGACCGGGATACAACCCACAATATCTTACATATCAGGCAAGGGAGATGATAGAAGCATTTAGCTCATTAAACGCCAGTTTTAGAAATAAACTAGCTTATATACCCGGCGGTGCTCAGGCCAAAAAAATATTTCAAAACTACTCTTAAAAATCTAACAGCAGTGCGTACTGTGGTGGTACCTGCTATGATTACAGCAGTGCATACTGTGGTGGTACCTGCTATGATTACAGCAATGCATACTGTGGTGGTACCTGCTATGATTACAGCAGTGCATACTGTGGTGGTACCTGCTTTCACTGCAGCAGTGCATACTGTGGTGGTACCTGCTATGATTACAGCAGTGCATAACGACTGTGGTGGTACCTGCTATGATTACAGCAGTGCATACCGACTGTAGTGGTACATGCTATCACTACAGTAGTACATGCTGACTCTATAGCAGTATTTATCGACTCTATAGCACAAAGTACTCACCTGACAGAGTGGCGTGGTGAGGCCTAGTCCCGTGCACAGCCTCCGGCCTCGCCTAGATTGTCCAGCCGGTCGAGGTGGCACCTTGGCAGGCTGGGGCTGGGCTACTACCCCTAAACCCCCCCCGCCAGCCACGACCTTCCCGGCCACTCTGCAGTAATATCTACGGCCTATAGTGATAGCATCTACCGACTGTATCGTAGTAACTGCACGCATCGGTGTGCGGGGGACATCACACAGTGAAGAATTAACGTCAGGGTTTAGTGTATTTTTAGCATTTTGAACGCGAAAAAAAATGTCCCCCTCACTCCCACCGAAGGCGTGCGACTTGGCATGGGCCGTCCCCCCCACCAAAGGCGCGTGAGTTGGTATGGTCGTGCACGTGTCATAAATAAATCAATAAAGAGAAAGCACACAAAAATCGAACAAAATCGCTAATTAAACTAATTAAAAGTTGACGGATGTGAAAAAGGAATAGCGCTTGCTGATGGCGGGGCTTACGGCGTGGTACCTGGCTATTGTTATTTTATGTAAACCCCATTGTTGGAGAGCCAAATCCTTCGCAAGTGCGCGAACACACAAACAAACCCACAAACCCACACACAATTTTTTTTTACTTTTATATCTATAGATAGCTCAACATGACAAATGGATGAGAATATAACTGGCTGCACTTCATATGCTAAAGGATGACATTTTACTGCTGAGTGTGACACATCTGTTTCACGGTTGGGAAGCTTGATGCATAGCTGCTGTGTGAAAGCGGTTAATCTTAGGTTCGAGATTTAATCCACAGTAATGAGACCTCATGGAAGCCAGTCGTTAGGATTGGGGAACGACATTAGAAGCAATCTTGACTTAAAAGATTTCGTGACTGCAGGAATTCATATTCTTTGGGTCTTTCGGTAAAGTCATGTAGATAGGTTGAAATTAATAAAAAAAATAAGCAAAAAACTACGACGTTTGATCAAAACACAAGCGATTGTCATCAGGAGACGATCGCTTGTGTTGTGATCGAAACATCGTAGTTATTATTTTATTTTTATTATGTTTGCGTAGAGTTGATGGATGTGCCCGCCACCTTGAATTAGTGAACTTTCGCAGAATGTTGTTTCGTGTGTTGACCTTGACATTGGTATTTAAAGTGTGCTTTTTGTACCTGAGTATACGATCCAGTGTTACCCCCAGGTATAGTGGGTGACTGGTGTTCGAAGCTCTGGTCTTCCCAGGTGATATTCAGGTGTCGTTCTGCATCCCAGTTTCTCAGATGGAAGGCACAGTTTTGGACTTTACTCGGGGAGATTAGGGACAAAGAGATTAGCATGAAATGAGCTTCCGTCCCCACTTAAGAGTATCGTCCCCGCATATGCGCACAACAGCAGTGTTAATGGGAGATTAGCATTATGTTGATGGAAGAGATTAGGCAGAGAGATTAGGGGGATTAGCAAGTTAATCTCATGTCTATGTGTAACACAAGCTGCGGCGCTGCCAACTGCGCTGTGAGGCAAGCGCGTCAATGCAAGAGAACCACTGCAACGGTGGTCGCGCCAGTGAGACACACAGCCCATCACACAGCCAAAACCATCGATACATCGAGGCTAAGGGAGCAGAGGTGGCCATGTTAGTGAGACCCCTGCCCGTTAATGCAGAGGCACCCAACAGGGCAATGCAACTCAGAGAGTCGGAGATAACGGCAGGGAAGAATGGAAGAACCACAGCAAGTTACGACTTTGCTTGGTTAATAACGTCCTTCTAATGATTGCTCAGCTTATACCCATCTTCTCAGTTGAAATTGTCTCTGTGTTTATATATCTGGATGGCTTCATGGACAAATCGTTGATGGTACAGAGTTCTTCTGGGCCGGATGGTGGTGGGAATCAGGCTTTAGATAGGAATCCGTGTGGGTGGCTTTCCTATAGACGGGATGTCCCAACGAGCCATCAGGCCTCTTCTCGATCAAAACATCCAGGAATGGTAGCTTGCCATAATTTCCACTTCCATGGTGAATTTGATGGATGGGTGTATGGAATTGATGTGGTTGAAAAATTGGTTCAGTGCTGGCTGGCCACGTGGCCAGATGACGAAAGTGTCATCTACGTATCTCTTCCACAGGGAAGGACGTAGGGTGGATGCCAGGAT